GTAGTGTATATGTGTGTGTATGTGTGTGTGTGTGTGTGTGTGTGTTTGAATTCCATTGGTTAATCATGTTTCACGTGCATTCGACTTGTTGAACTAACATTACTACAATTTGTGGCATTTGGAATTCAAGGCGAAACGACGCCTCCATTCGCTAACGACTTTCTCTCTCTCACTCACTATCACTCTGATTCTCTCACTCACTCTTTGTTCTCACTCTTTCTATTCCTCGCTCCCTTTCTTTCCTTTCCAGCCATTGAATATTGTCGAATATAACCCAGTTTTCATCACCTGTTATATATTTAATGATCGGTTATTTAGGATTATGCATTTCTACAATTGGTTCACGAAAACGGAAATTACATATGATTCAACTTGATACAACGCAGTTTTAAAACTACTTCAAATTCCGCCATTATTTGATGGCAGGCATAAAGTCGTAACAACAACGCCACAAACTGATAATGATGGCGAAGTTAATGACGAAACATGTGAACAGAATGATTTGAATAAACAGCTTTATCAATGAAGAAATCATACCAATGCTTGAAGGTGCTGCTGTCGAGACAAGAAATAATGGTGCCTATTTAACCGTATTTATATTTGTTTATTAGATGCGAAACTGACGCGAGCAAACACTCAATCAAAAGCATAATGAATCCAGCTAATAGATGACAATATCCATGAAAACAATGTCGGAATAATAATCTCCAATATAGCAGTGAATGTTGGACGATCTCCTCTCAGATGAAGAGACTTGAAGCGACAGAGATGTATGCGGTTCTATCGACCAATACGAAGAATATTATAAAAGGGGATATGATATGAGTGTAACAATGAAACCTTAAAGAAAAGAGGAAGACCAATTAAGCTGCTGCTCCCAATCAGAAAGAGATAGCTAATATACGGAGGCGCATAAGAACGATGCTTTCTAGAAAATAAGCAAAGAGTTTTTCTTCTATGTGCCATTTCCCTTCAAGACATTGTCGATAATGGCTCTCCACAATTTTCTTTCGATTGTAGCACTTAGTAAATGGCATTTTACTATATCTTCTAAACCTTGTTCCGATATCTATTTACACAAACTTGATAGATAGGTTATGCGCTGTTTCCCTTACCTTCAATATATCCTGTGAGTATCAAATTTTCTAAGCCTTCTTCCCTCATTATATGCCTAGAAGTTTCAATTGTCTCTTTCTAATGTTAAGTATAAATACCCTTTCCATTTTCTCTAAAACTTTCTCGTTGCTCACATGTTCAGTCCATGATATTCTCAGCATCCTTCTGTAAAACCACATTTCTGTTGCTTCAAATCTCTTCATCTGTGAGAATATTGTTTAGTATTCCCTGCCATATAGGAAGACTGATATTACATAACAGATCAGTACTCTTTTCTTTGTTTCTAACGAAATTTTCCCTTTTCTTATTACTTTGCTTAGCTTTTGGAAGACATCTTTCGCTATCCAAATGCGCCTTTGGATTTCAGAGTCACACCTTCCGTTCTCTGTTAAAACACTTCCCAGTTATTTAAATTGTTGTACTTCCTTGATTTTGGTTTCTCCAATTTGTAATTTGTATGTTGGACTGTTCCTCTTGCTGACAACAATATATTTTGCAATTGATGCTTAGTCCTTTCTTCTCGCTTTCCTTCACTACTTCCTCCATGAGAGTGTACTGCTATCAACACTATGTCATCTGCATATCTTTTGTTGTTAATATTGTGGCCGCCAAAAATGAATCCTGACTGGATTTCTGTTTCTCTCAGAATCGCCTCACTGTATAGATATCCTTGTTTTACAACCATTTCTGTTTTTGTGTATTTAGAGGGTTCATTTTCAATCCGTATGCAAGCGGTTTTCTTCCATTATAAGTTCTGGATTATTCTAATATCCTTCCCAAGTAGGTCAACATTACCTATCAGTTCCAGTAGTCATTTGTGACTTACTTTATCAAACGCATTGCATAATCTATAATCCATAGAAAATGCTCTTAACGAAGAGAGTGCTGAATTGCTATATAATGTCTAATCTCCAATATGGCAGCGAATGCTGGGCAATATCTTTAGAGACTTGGAGAGTCTTGAAGCATTAAAGCTGTCATTCTACTAAAAATGCTAAGAATACAATGTAAAAAATATGAGAAGAAAGTCTTAAGAAAAAAGAAATTACAATTAATCTGCTACAGGCTATAGCAGATGGAAGTTTCTGGGACATAATGAAGACAGTCTACAGAGAGAATATAACACTCACAAGGCCCATTGGAGGCAAAAGAAGCATCGAGTTGCAGGATTGTGTGAATGGATGACTAAACAGGGAGAAAGAAGGAGGGTAAGAAGGCAAACAGGCCAGCAAATTATAGGAAATTGTGGAGAGCCATGATCGCCTACTTGCCGAAGGGACATGACACAGAAAAGGACAATGACACTGTAGACTGTAATATCGTATATACTTACTTTTTTTCCTTCCACATATCTAAAATCAAGAAAATGCTTACGCAAGTTTACAAATATTTGCACAAAATGGTCGCAATACAACCACTCCTCACTTAACGACTTATTTAACCCTACTGAGGACTTACAACCAGCGATAAAATCTCCTAAATTAAAAAAAAAAAACGATCAAGTTCAACTAGTCACTAATACCCTAATCCCAGAGGGGCTCCTGAAACAATTTTTTAATGAGAGAATTTTTCAAGAAAAACGATTTTTTTAATGTGTTTTCTATTAAAATAAGAAACTTTTAGTGATAGAATCATAAGCCAATGGGTTGAAGTCGCTTATGTTGGCCTATGCTTTAATAGACATTTCATATGGTCTCAAAATACTCCTGTAATCGGTCAAATTTCAAAATTTTCTTGAGGGATTACAGAGCTCAAACCCCCAGCTGGATCTGCTTGTTGAGTTCGCCACAATCTGTTCGTGGCCTAAAGTTTAGCAGTTGGATCCTTGAATCTATTGTTGCTGGTTGCGAAGATTCTCTCATATCTCATTGCAGCTTCAGGGCTCTAAAATCTGTAGCCTCTATTCTTTACAAGATGCTTTTTTAACCGTCTCACCCCAAGCAAGGCAACAAAGTCACTTAAGACACACGGTGTTACAGAGTGTGAAAGAATAAGACAAAAAGAAAGAAAAAAACATTAAAAGTAAAGAACAAAAGAACAGTAAAAGGAATGAAGAAGACAGTAGATAACGATTGATATTGCATTTAATTTTTTGAAAATCAAAGTTGATTGGAAAGCAAGAGACCGGAAGTGAGTTCCACAAGCGAGAAGTGCGTAAGAAGGAACTGTTAGCATATAACTTACGGTTATATCTAGCTATTTCGACTGTAAAATAATGAGACTTAACCGTCAATCTAGTACTGCGCTTAAATACATCGAGGTACCAAAAAAGAAAGCTCTTCAGAAAAATTACCATAAAATATCTATTTAAAATAAAAGACACAGGGAAGCTACTTTACAGCGAAGGGAAAATGACTAAAACCGAGATGCCTTGTCAGGACCGATAACATTGCATAGTCTTTGGATTTTTATCAAGAATCTCTATAAGTATATACCAGATGCACCAGATGTAGCAACAATTTCCAATGCATAGACAACTGGTAGACTTATAAATGTATAAAAAAGATTGTGGCGAGAAAGAATGTCTGCAACGAAACAGGGTCTTCCTTTCTTATTTCTTCACTTTTCTTTCTTCTTTCTTCTTACCTCTTTCTTCTTTTTCATTCTCTCTTCGTCTTTCTTCTTCTTTCTCTTCGTCTTTCTTCTTTGTTCCCGCTTTCTTTTTCTTTCTTTTTACATCTTTTTTTCATTTTCCACTCTTCTTTCTTCTTCTTCCCACTTCTTCCTCTTTTTTTTTTTTTATCAATTTGTCCCATGCAAGGCGATAATGCCACTTAGACGCAAGGGACTACTCGGACTGAAAGAGAATGAAAAGATTTTAGAAGGAACCGGAAACCCAATCCTAAGTAGGACACAAGGCATAAGCCTCTACTCCTGTTCAAAAGACCTGTGAGGTGTGTGAACCGGACGAGAGGCAAACCTGCCTACTTCTACTTCATTATTATTATTATTATTATTATTATTATTATTATTATTATTATTTCCTTTGATTTCTGGTGTTTACACATTTCTTTCCGGGTCCCGCCCAGAGATCTAAGGTCAGAAATGGCATCATGACATTTCCCACTGACCAATTAAAAAAAAAGAACAAAAAACACACACACACATATTTTACATAGATAAAGCCCGTCGTACGGTATGGGCTGTACTCGTGAAAACAATTTTTTTTGTATTTCTTTAAGGCATGGGCTTCCAGGAATCCCTTCAATTAGTCTATTGGATTTTTTTCAAACAATCCGAGGGCTCCAACTAAAACAGGAATTATTGATGTTCTTATGTGCCGCTTTTTTGAGATTTCGATTTTAAGGTCCTTGTAATTTGATAGCTTTTTGAAGATCTTCAAAGATACATCGCAGTCCGCAAGGACTGCCATATTAATAAGAAGGCAATTTTTTGTTTGTTTGTTTGCGGTCTTTAATAACAATGTCTGGGTGGTTAGCTTTTATTGTGTATTGTGTATACTTAAAATTGTTACAGGTCCTATCTCCGTAACCCAGTCTGGGTGATTATTATTATTATTAAAATTATTATTATTACTACTACTTCTACTACTACTACTACTACTACTACAAGACAAGACAACAATAATCACACCAACAATAACATTTTAATATTCGTTTATATAATTATTTCTTTTTTTACTATTTTTTATTGATACATTGTTCTTTTTGTAAATGCTTGTGTTGATGGTGTCCGTGTTCACATGTAAAACAGGGAGATATCGTTAATAAGAAATGTTGACAATAATAACATTTATGTATTTCTCTGTCGGGTGATGTTGATGAAATCAATTTCAAGTTTGATTGAATCATTGCATGGTGGTTTTTTTTTGTTTGTTTGTTTTTTTGTTTTTTGTTTTTTTTTGTTCGCGTCTAACCATTAAGCGTTTACATTGCGTTCATAATTTGTCAAATTAAGTCTGTTTACATTCTCTACACCCATCTTCTCTGCCACACATACCTGTCTCACAAATCTCTCCTCTTTCTCTTTCTTCCTCTCTCTTTGTCTCTCTCCCTCTTTCTCTTTCTCTCTCACGCCCCCCCCTCAAACGTCAGTTTCCCTTTCTCACGTACTTGTTTGTTTATCTTAAACTTCTTTTCCATTTATCGCTTCTCCGTGGCGGCTTGATCAGTTTGGAATTACATGAAATGGCCCTTGTCTTTTCAAGAATGCAAGATGCAGAAGAGAGGAACTTTAATTTCTTTTACTCTATTTTTTTTCTTCTATGCTGGTATCATTTTTTCTACTCCATTTTCCCCCTTCAGTTCGTTAAGTTTATTTTCCGCCTATACAATCTTTTATCCGACCCCGATTTCTTGGCTACACTTTTGTCTTAATATCTTACTTCGTTTCCACTTCTTTAATTGTTATTCATCTTAACTTAGTTTGTCACAAGGCCACAAATATGAGGTACCTAGTGAAAATCCAACTCTCTACACTGTCGCAATAGTAATAGTAATATTAGCCGCTTCCTTATAAGGAAACATTCAGCATTCATTGACCGAACACCCACTGCTCTTGTTGGCTGAAATTTATCAAATATTTTCATTAAAACATTTTTTTTTTTTAATTGGGTTCTTAAAGCCCAGTAAGGTGGAGTAATGGATAGCGGCTCGGATTGAGGAGTCAGAGATCCGAGTTCGAATTCCAATCGAATCTATTATATTCACTTACGTGCTAATACCCTTGGGAAAGTTATGAATCCTCTTCTTCTCCCCCCTCCCCAGCAAATAAGGATAGAGAGACTATATAGCCTTGGATGGCAAATGGTAGCCTACTGCGTGAAAAAATCATCCTCATCATGTATCGAAAGATACATGATTGCCTAAGCGTGTATCACCTATGACACATAACTGATTGCGCAGTGTTAATGTCATTTAACAACAAATGTAATTTTTTTAATTATTTCTCATTCATTTCTCTACGGTACGTATATTTTATGAATTTAAGCACAGTACAGCGGCTCGGATTGAGGAATCGGAGTGTCGAGTTCGAATTCTAGTCGAATCCATTACAATCACTTACGTACTAATACCCTTGGGAAAGGCATGAATCCTCTTCTTCTCCCACCAGCTATGGGTAAAATAGCAGAACAGACCGTGTTCTATAGCCTTGGATGGCAACCTACTGCGGGAAAAAAAATCTGCCTGGTCAGTCATGTATCGAAAGATACATGATCGCCCAAGTGTGTATCACGCATGGCACATAACTGACTGAACTGAATTGTTATCACTCTTTCAAGTATTGATGGGGGTTTTCTTTGGAACGACAACATATTGGTTCTCTCATTATCCACACTTCGAGTGTTATCCATTTTGGTTGTTACTCAAGGGATTAGATTTCTGTTATTTGGTACAGTTCTTTGTTTATGGTTCTTGAGATTCATTACTTTTACCCATAAATATAGCATACCTTAAAATTATATTATTATGATATTGTTTATTTGGGTAGTAATCCCTCTTTTATAAAAAGTTTTATTAAACATGACTGTCAGGCCACTTCGATTTTCTTGCATTCTTACAAGTATATTCATTTTACACACTTTATATCAGAAAAGAAAATATTTGTACGAATGCAAAAAAAATTGAATAAAAAGCTGAATCGCAGTGCTTTGTCAGTCATCTTTTAAAATATATATATATATATATATATATATATATATATATATATATATTTAAAATATATATATATATTTTATATATATATATTTAAAATTATATATATATTTATATATATATATATATATATATATATTTAAAATTATATATATATATATATATATATATATATATATATATATATATATATATATATATCGAACATAGTTTAGATGTGACATAAACCCCGCAGTTATAGGTATCCAGTGAGGATCGACTTAGTAGCGAATTCGATCCTCACTGCTTTGTTCCATACTTACACCATTGTGCCACATCTAAGCCACGCATATTAAAATTGTTTTTTTCTTTCTTTTACTTTAATATGACTTCTCAAACATTCAGGCCGGTATACAAAAATAAATAAATATACTGCTAATTAAAATGGAGAATATTCTCAAATACGAGTTTCCACTAAAAAAACAAAACAATTTAAAGTGGTAAAATATATCTGTCGGATTAATAAAAAAAATTCTTTTAGAATGTATATATATATATATATATATATATATATATATGGTATGTGGAGGCGTATATACAGCATTCTCACAAGTATTTTTTCTTTGTCAGCTTTTCTTTTCCTTTAACATACGCACCTCCTTTACCCATTTATTGTGTCCTTTTTTTTTCTTCAACATAAGTCTTTACCATACGAGGTCACTTAGTGCATTTCTTGATCCACTTTTGCACACGTTCACTATTGTTCACACTCAGCATTCTTCTTGTATAAGTTATATACTCTCTCTCTCGCGGTACGCCATTACTCACTCAAGTCTTACTAATAGTGTCGTGGCTGTCTTTGTTAACATACCATTGGCCTCTCTCCAATAAAAGTACAACGACACAGGTGTGGTCATAACCTTCGTAATGATAATAGTGATATTAGCTGTTTCCTTATAAGGAAACATTCGACATTCATTGAGCGAACCGCATGTACTACTGCCGGCTGAGATTTATCAAATCTTTCTCTTAAAACAATTTTTCCGGTGAATATGATTGGTGTTTTCGGGTTGATGATTTGGATTTGTAGCAACTGGCGGTATTGGGTGAAACTACTTGTAGCGTAGCCTATGTTCAATTTCCATATTTCCTATACTAAATTTATCACAACTGAACAACAGCCGGTGCCCGCCAAGAAGGTTCGCTTTGGTCACGGACACGTAGCCGTTGATTCTCCCAGTGAGTGGCGTGGGGAGGCGCTTTGGTCTTTGACTTCAGTCAAGGAAGCTCTCCGCCCTGCCGTGTCATTAGCGCAGTGGCTGAAAACATATATACATAGCCCGGTTTACTTCATTGTGCTAAATGGCCGTTAACCATACCAGAAGGTTCATCCGTTTCTACGACATTTTTTTTTAAATCCTGCTCGATGTCTAACCATCTCCCTCACGAAAAACCCCTGGTGTAGGAACCAGTTTAATAGAACATCTTTTTATAACGTCTCACGTCGTTTTGTTTTACTTTCAATACCGCATTTAGTCGACACATTTTAGAATAGTATTCTGCATTAACTGTTTGGTTCCTAAGATAGTCATCCATTCAAAATATCCCCTTCTTTGCGTCCAAAATAACTGATAATTTTGAATTTTGGGGGACGTGGTGAAGCCTAATGCTTCCACATGCAGCGTTTGAATCCATGTTTTAACAACAGTAACAAGTAACTAAAAAGATTATCACGAGATCGCAAATAATGTTGCTACATCAACTTGCTGTTATCCAGTTTATATAGTTCTTGGTCAGCATTAGAACATTTTGGTAATCACTTGTCTGATAGTTTCTTTATACCCAAATATTCTAGAATTATAAAACCAACAGGTTCCATGAGTATCTCTATATTAGTGAGAGGGAGAGTAGTAGATATGCATCTTGGTGTCCGCTCGTAATCATTGTAAACGTGTCCTCAGTCATATAGCATTCACTGCTTTTTAGTGATGGGAGTGTTCATTGTCCTTTGCGGATACGGCGTAAACCGTACTTTTCCAAAGTATATTCGCCCACGACAAACATCATGTGGTGGTGACAAGAGTTACAACACCCGCTCGCCTTTGGTATTTATAAAACTAAAGACGTTCGGTAGTCAGCTTGGCCGTCACGATCTCCGGATCTGTCTCTCATTAAACATGTATTGGACGTGATGTGACAAGCCTGACTCGTTTAGTTAGTTCGCCTACAATTCTTGTTGTATGACGTCAACAGGTGCAAAAGATGTGCAAAAATGGCAGGTTGTTATTCACCATCACCGTGATAGCATATACGCAGGACTGCGGGCCAAACCATTGTAAAAAAAAAAAAAAAAAAAAGAAAGAAAAGAAAAAAGATCAAAAAATCTTCCTGAATTATAAAACAAACATGTTCAATGGGTATCTCTATATTTAAAAGAGATTTGTAGATACGAGGAAAGTAAAGAAAAGTTTTATAAGACCGACTAAGGAGACCTTTCAACACCAACAAAATATATAAAAATCTTTCGGTCATATCCACTTAAAAAAAAAAAAAAAATCTGAGCTAAAATCAGTTTTATTTTATTGGAAGAGATTTCTTAGTCGGACTCCGAACTCATGAGTATCCGCTTCGTTTATGAATCCATTTTACTTCCTCCTCCTCTTTCCCTCTCTATAAATATATGTCTATCTATTTCAAGGTAGTTAACCCTAGTGTTGATTTCGACGTATGAGGGTGACACAGTTCAGTTTAGAATTGAATCACTATGCTACCCAAATGGATGATTTGATTACAGCATTGAATGCTTGGGTCAAACCAGCCACACTTGTCGAAAGAACCAACAGGAGAATAATGCTGTGGGATCTGCTACGAAATATTCAAACAGAGTTAAACAGGTTATGCTGCTATTCAACCTCTAGGAAGATGGGTTCATGCCTTTTTCAAGAGTGTTAGCACGAATTGAAAGAAATTTGGACACGGCTCGAAGATTTCATTTTCCACGCTGAAAACCGTTACACTATTTGCGCGTCCACAAACACCCCCCCCCAGAGAGAGAGAGAGAGAGAGAGAGAGAGAGAGAGATGTTTGTATGTCTGAACAGATATGTGTGTTTGTGTATCGAAATGTATGAAACACGTCACAGGAAATTTTCCAGTTTGTCATATTTTTCCAAATACAGTTTATTTATATATAAAAAATATATATATATATATATATATATATATATATATATATATAATGTTGGGATGTGTTTATGGGTGCATATATATATACATATGTTGAGATGCGTTTATGGGTGTGTAGTGTATATATATATATATATATATATATATATATATATATTTTTGTGTGTGTGTAGAGATGTGTTTATGTGTGTATATATATATATGTCGAGATATTTGTCTATGTGTGTATATCAGGGATATATATATATATATATATATATATATATATATATATATATATATAATAGAGAGAGATTTGTGTATTTGCGTAGAGATATGTGTAGAAATACAGGTATATATTTTTTTGCATATATATGTGTATATATATATATGTGTGTGTGTATACATATATATATATATGTGGGGAAATATATATAGAGAGAGATGCGTGTGTGTGTATATACATATATATGTGTGTGTGTGTGTGTGTGTATAATGTATGTACAGGGTGCGATGGTTAAATTGTCATCTAAATTCGGCAAAAATGAAAATGACATTGACATCTCATTTTAACAGATATATTTCCCAAAATTACACAAAAATATCTTGAAATACTAAAGAGGAAATATATTCAATAAAACCACCATTAAATTCGACCACGGCCTCCAGACGACATCAAAATCTGCTGCATCTCTTCTGGGCTGTCTCTTTTTTTTTTTTTAAGGTGGTAAATGCTACCATAATCCTTGCCTTCAATTCACCTTTGGTGATACAAGAAGTTTTGTTGGTCTCTCGCTAAACTGAGCACCACGCATAATAATCACGGGGGTTACATTCAGAAGAGTTTGGTGGCCAGATGTAAGGGGTAATGTGGTGGCAGAAATTCTCTGACAGCCACTGCTGGGTTCTCGTTCTTTTGTGGCATGGTGCAGAGTCCTATATATAGACCATCCATCTCTATCTCCAGGGAAGCTCTACCTCCTGAAGGCACTTGCTGTAGGTCTCCGTGTTGAGTATGAGGCCCTGTGGGAAGATGAATGGAGGCATAACGTCGCCATCACTAGTGATCACTCCAAACACCATTATGTTGACTGGATATAACATCAAGCTCTTTTAGAATCTTCTACATTGTCCTCAGATTGATACTAAACACAATGAAATGTTCGGAATGGAGCTTCAAAGCGATTGACAAGCAGTACAGCATGCTGTTTTCACATTTCTGCTGGAGTGATGCTTCATGGTGCTCTTTCTCACAGACGGTGTCCACCTGACCCTACAATGCTGTGCAGTCGACAAAATCAAAAACAAACAACGCGCATGCGCAGAATTGATAATATAAAATGGTGACAATTTACCCATCGCACCCTGTATATGTATATAGCGAGATATATGGACATATATGTGTGTGTGTGCACATATATATGTGTGGAGACATGAACGTACACACACATATATATATGTTGAGATATGTGTGTGTGTGTGTATATATATATATATATATATATATAAGGTAGATATGTGTCTATAAATATATATATATATATATATGACAAAATGGATAAAAAGAGACGAGAAAAACGATACTTAGCCAACGCGTTTCCTCCTCTGATTAATAATTCTTTCGTTTTTTATTATTATTATTTCATTTAGATTCCTCGACTAGTTTCGGCCAACATGGCCATCATCAGGAGAAAAAAAAATTCTGCTTGCTCGTAGCAGTGAACTACAGAAATGAATGTCTTGATGGTGAAATATATATATATATATATATATATGAGATGATAAAGAGACATTAAGTGCTATGTTTAATTGTTTATTTATACATCTCTGTTTTAGCGTTTCATTCCCTGCATGACCTTTCTAGTGGATATCCTGCGTGTACTCAAATTGCTATACTTCCTCAGCTCTTCATTCATTTTTAGTTACTTACCTGTGTGATGTCTCCCTGATCCAAGTCTCAACATTCTCAATTTTAATATTCCCTGGCAGTTTTCACCCACCCATTCCCGGCTGTGGTCGCACATTCCCGGCATTTGTCCGTCAGTCGACCAAGAGGGTGTTGTTGTTCTACCCGGACGGTCGATACGTTCCTCGCCTGTTCACCTACACTTCCTTTCCAATCCTTTCTTTACCATCTCTCCTTATTATTCATTAAATATTTTAGAAGGTAATTTTTTTCTTTCTTTTTTTTCTTCTTTAAGCTAGTACTTTGCTTTTGTGGGGCCTGGCTTACTGAATGATAATCTGAAGGTAAACGCCCTGTACACACAGGTTTTTCTCCGATGAATGTGTCCTAATGAGAAATGAAGTTATTGACACACGGTTAATCGGGCAAAACGCGTTGGACAAAATATGGTTCCAAATCAGGGTCAGTAATACAAGCACCACTTCATAAGTATAGACACAGGCATTCATGCAAGTGTGCCTATGGATCTACATATATCCGTATACATCACACACGCGCACACACACACACACACACACACACACGCGCATATATTATAATCGGTATTCATATTTAAAATAGACGTCCCATTTTAAATTATGGCAATTGTTTTGTCTCTAGAACAAATCTCTTCAGACTAATAATCATAGTATCGATGTAGTACGCGCGCATATATATAGATTGATAGATAATCTCTGTGTGCGTGTGTATAAATATAACGAACGCTGGTTATGGTTGTAACGCTTAGCGTAAAATATAAATTTTAAAATTTTTGAGCTCCGTTATGTAAATAATTTCTCCATATCACTCTATTTTGTTCATGTCTATATATTTATTTTAGCTTCTTCATATCTATCTCTTTATTGTAGCGCGTTCATATCTATCTATCTATCTATCGTCTCTATCTATCTATCTATCTATCTATCTATCTATCTATCTTCTGTCTGATTCTAGTCCGTTACATTCACTTACGCGCAACTACTCTTGAGAAACGTATGAATATGTTTTTGTTTTTTTTAATGTTTTATTGCACGCTCCAAAAGTTTGTATGCGTTAACAATAACACATTTATTAAAAAAAAAAAAAAAACATATTTCGATTCACATTTAATTTTTTCGTCTCGGATGCTACCTGAATTTTACCAAAAAAAAAAAAACAAAATAATTTCCATGCCTGAAGATGACTGAATGTACAGTTGAAAGTACTTGCGTATTAAAGAAAGACCTTATACATTTTATAATTTTCCAAAACAAGGATCATAACATTCATCGAGTGATTTGTAGGTTAATACACTTTTAAATTTTGTGTGCGAAGGGATTTCGCCATTATATATCGTTAACTTCACTAATCTACTTTTTGTATGAATGATTCACTGTAATATAAATTGAACTGCATCACATATTTGATATATATATATATATATATATATATATATATATAAAATATCTATATATGTGTGTGTGTGTGTGTAGAATCTTCTAAGCTTGATATATAATTAGGCCGCAACTCAAGTTACCCCTTAAAATTGATAAGGGACTGAACAAAGAGCAGTAGAAAGAACGAATAAACAAAAAAAAAAAAAAAAAAAACTGAAGTGGTTGGGATATAGTCATAGCATTGTTTGTTAGTCAAAGCTGAGGTGCACAATAACCAGATTAAGGAATGAATCCTCACCTCAACCAGAATAGATAAACTAGAATTTCAATTATTTTCAAGTGAGAGAGAAAGGAGGTTAGGGGGGGGGAGAAAGCGCAAAAGATAAAGAGGGCGGAAGCACCTGTAGAGTTTGAATATCGCTGAGTTGCTTCATTGCAATAGGAAAATAACGTAGTGTCTAGCATTTGAATATACCTACACTGTAAAATCTATTGTGCTTATTTGAATATGACTGACTTTTTTTTTTTTTGCATGTATGTATCTTTTTACATGTTTGTCATATTATTGTTAAGCTAATTATCTTCACATATGGAATTGTAATGAAGCTAATCAGGAATCCAGTTACTAAACTTTCTGAATTTAAATCAAGACTTTTTTTTTTTTTCTGGCAGCTTATTCTAAAAAAAAACTCACTCTGAACAAAAATCAATACAAGCGATCAAAGCGATTGCTTGCTTCACCAACGCGTGCGCACACATACACCCACCTACCCCCATATATATATATATATATATATATATATATATATATAGTGGGGTGGGGAATAAATCAAATCCCTGTTAAAGTTTAAATTTAACATTCTAATATCCAGTATATCTCTATGCATAACCTCACACACACACAGAACATTTTGAGTGTGTAGTGTAATGGTTAGCAAGCGTCTCTCGTCATGTCACTTCGACCCTCATTAGGTGGTCTATATTTCGGGCCTTCTGTCATATCTAAAGCTTCGCTCAATATATATATATATATATATATATATATATATATATATATATATATATAGGATTAATCCAAATATAAATTTTGTTACTTAGAATATAGATGTTATTCTCAGCATCTCGACTCTGGAGTTTCGTAGACAGATCCTCCGGCAATCGCTCCGTTCACTCGTCAGCAATCGACTGTTTATTTTTAGTTTGTCGTCACTGTTATATTGAGTAAAATAATTTATACATACATGCATACATACATACATACATACATACATACATACATACATACAACGTGTAACATACTTTCATATTATATTTGTGTTCGGATATATATGTATACACACACACACACACACATATATATAAATCAAATATTTTGTGTATGTATGCATATGGAAATATGCATAAATTTAAAAGTACGGTATAAAATATATATTTTTATTTCGTAATTGAAACAACAGGACTTACAACAGGAAATAATAAATTTGGAAATAATCTATTTTCTTTCACTTGGATTGTTTAAAGTTGCCTATGAAGTTTTAAAAGGGAATAAATTGAAAATAAATCTAATTTCATGAGAAATTATTCTATCCACATTACAAAAAGACAAAAAATTATAATCATGTGTTGTGGATATATCGTATGTATGTTAAACTATGTGTATATACATATATGTCTGCGAGCGTTATTTCTTTTATATATGTACGTTTATTCATTTTTATATATATATATATATATATATATATATATATATATATATATATATATATATATATGAATTAGGATCAAATCTGAACTGAAATCCAACAGAATTATAAGAATAAATAGGAAACGTTTATCGATCTCACATATTTCACTTTTATTTTATTTATCTGGCGAAGCGCTAATAATTTTATATATATTTAAAAATCGTGATATTATATACGTGATTGTATATACATACGTTGTGTGTGTGTGGGCGTATCCAGTATCAATTATATTATATCGTACGTTAAAAGCCTCCCTATCGGGCGGCATTTAAGCTAGCTCCTGCGGAGGGCTATTGATTGGGCCTTCGTTACAATAGGTAAGCAGGGAGTAGATGCGATAGGCGACAATAAACTACAGAAGAACTCAAAATTGATCGCAGCATTTAAGTATTGCATTAATATTTAAGCTTACCTTTTTAAAGTTCAATGATAATTCTTCTGTCGCCACTTAATTTAAAGACAATTTGATGTACGTAGGTCCTTACTTTCTGTATAAATAATTATCTTTATTTCATGCGTTACTTTCGCTGGATTTCTCAATTGATTTCGGTTATTCCCAAATTTATTTGCAAGTTATAAACATTGTTAACGTACAAAATATTAGTGGCCAAAAATCACGTAAAAGTCACCGAAAACAATCCAAAATTTCAGAATTGTGGGTTCGAATTCTGTTCGGAATGTTTTTAATTTGCTCACAGAGTTGGCCTCATTCCAAAATGAAATGATACGTTGGGCTCCGGCCTCTAGGAGTAAAGTTGAAAACACATACCATTTTATTTTAATACACTGCAATTTGAGAACCATCTTTTTTTTCATTTGAATATAAGCTATTAAAAGTTAAAGAGTTATCTCCCTTTTAATTGTTTTAATCAGTAGAAACCAAGAAGGGGTATCCCAAAACAATCGCAGTAATGAAAATTTGGAAATCGCAAATTTCAGGATTGGATATCCGGATCCGACCCGGAATGTCTTTAATTTGCTCACAGAGTTGGCCTGGTTCCAAAATGGTATGATATGTTGGGTTACGGCCTCAAGGATTAAAATTGAAAATGTGTGACACAGTGATATTTATTATATAGATGTAAATCACTGAAGGCAAAAGGGACAGAGAGAAACAGTTCATAAACAACCTACCGTGCTAGTGTAAATACTTGGCAGAACGGGGATTTGAAGAGATAGCAAAAAGACAAACTTTACTAAGAGCCACTAAGAACAGGAAATTGTGGAGGGCCATGATAACACCCACTCTGAAGAGCCACGACACATAGAAGGAGAGTGTTTACGCTGTCCCATTCCCAGTTTAAATATCTGATGTTTTAACAGAGGACGGAAAGTGCGACATTGAAATCCGTAGGCGTAAGAAGATGTTTTCCATAAGCTAAGCAAAGTATTAAGAAACAGAAAAAAAAATTATTAGAAACAAAGAAAAGAGTACTGAATTGTTACGTGATATTACTCCCCTTATATGGCAGTGAATACTGGACAATCTCCTCATAGATGAAGAAGAGACTTGATGTGGTTCTATCGAAGCATGCTGAGAATATCATGGTGCGAACATGTGAGCAACGACGACGTTTTAGAGAAGACTAGACTACCCGTGACCCGTTGGGTCACTGACAGTTCAGGTTATAAAGCAATTAAGTTGATTTCAACATTAAAATATTGTCTGAAGTTGAAATAAAAAATATTTACTGTATAAACAACTTTTAAAATCTTATTCATTAAAAATATTTTTTAAATCACATGAACGTAAAAATATATTTTTAATATGCTAAAAATATTTTAAAATCATATTCACTTGAACATATTTTTTTAAATATGGCAAAAAATATTTTTTAAATATTTAAAATATTGTTTGTTTAAAAAAAGCTAAAATATCAATAAGCCCGCACGAAATATCAGAGGTGGAAAGAGATAAGTGAAAAGAGAGGGGTGGAAAGAGAGCGATGAAAAGAGAGAGAAAGAGAGACGCTGGAAGAGAGAGAGAGAGAAGTGAAAAGTGGACATAAATGGTTACATTTATGTCCTCAATCTGGATGTTAAATTAGGTCACTATCTGAGACGAAGACACACCATTTCCTTCTCTTTCCATTTCCTTCTCTCCCTCCTTCCTACACGATAATATCTCTATATAAGACTTCTGGCAAACACACAAGCAACGTTCACAGAGTTTTATAATAATAAAGATAGAAACAAAAAGGACCCTTATAATTAACATCAGAGAGAGATAGTTGAAATTTCTAGAGCACATGATGAGGAAAGAGGGCTTGGAAATTTTGATACTCACAGGACAAATTCAAGGCAAGAGAGACAAAAGAAAACATATAACTTACCTAGTGCACTTTAGTAAATGAATCGTGGGGGAGGGGCAAGTTTTAAGAGATAATGTAAATACATTTATTAATAGCTACAAAGGACAGGAAATTGTAGAGAGTCATAACCGTCAACGTCCGCAAGGGACAGGGCACATGAAATAAGATCCGAAATTTATCTAGCCAGATATGGATGCCTTCGAAAAAGTTTTATTGAAATCGTTCGAGATAGTTTGGCCGTTTCATTTTTTTGTTAGATTTTTTTTTATTTTTTATTTTTTTTACTGTTTTGTATATTAAGCTGTCGCAAATCCAATTTTTTCGTAAATTTGATCAGGACGTGAGACAGCTTATACGTTAACTGACACACACACACACACACACATATATATATATATATATATATATATATATATATATATATATATATATATATATAAAAAAAAAAAATTAAACAGACAGACAAAGCATATCGGTTAATTCCATTAAATCATGTTTACTGTTTTGTATATTAAACTGTCGCAAATCCAGGTCATTTTTTTCGTAAATTTGATCAGGACGTGAGACAGCTTATACGCTAACTGGATATATATATATATATATATATATATATATATATAAAGAAAAATTAAACAGACTGACAAACCATGGTTAATTCCAATAAATCATATTTGACGTCACGCATACACGCATATATACATGGATCGGTGGGACAACACATTTTCTTTTTAGTAGAATTTCTCAATTTTTAAGCCGGTTGACAGTAATCTCATTGTTTAAAAAACTGAGATGTCTACTCAGACACGTATATCAACTAAATATAACGTTTTTAGTAATATATAACATGACTGGATCTTGAGCCATATATTCAGTGATCTTTAGTAAAAAAAAATGCCTAAAAAATAAAGATATTTTCACATATAACGCATGAAATAAAGATAATTTTTTATACGGACAGTAAGGACCTACGTACATCAAATTTTCTTTAAATTAAGTGGCGACAGAAGAATTATCATTGAAATTTTAAAAAGTTAGCTTAAATATTAATGCAATACTAACACTTACATGCATGTATATTAATGTGTGTGTATGTGCGTAACGGTTGGTATATCAGTATTTAAAGTTTGTGTTTATTGCAAATTGTAGTAACAATTATTTTTGTTGAATGCGATTATTTAAAATTAATTATTTATTTCTCTCTACTTCTGAGATTTTTCGTTCTTTCTCCCTTGCATTTCATCTCACCTTGGAGACGAATTTCTAATTCATTTAATTAAATCCAATTCGTTCACAGCAACATTATTTTAAGAGCCTTAACAACAGACGTTTTCTCATATTTTGCGGGTGGTTAATAATTTTAAGAGATTTTATGGCAGTAGGGTAGAACAAGGGAGAAATCATGTCTCGGGTGTTATAATTTTTTTGTGAAATTCTTTTTGTCTTCTTTTTTGGTTCATTTTTAATCACCCGGTTTATTTTTTATTCTTTCCATCTTCGTATCGACGTCTTTTCTGTTAGTCTCTCTCTATTGGCTTTACATAACTATCTTCCTTTCCTTCATGTTTTTTTTTTCTTTCTTTTATTTCTAGTTTTCCCGCCTTTCTGTCTTGTGGTGATGCGTCTCTCTTCTTTTTTTTTTTCTTTTTTTTTTTCGCGTCTCTCTCGCATTGCTTCACTATTGTAATGCGACTGTTTCTCGGGACACTAATGTCTCTCCTTTCAGCGTCTTTTTCACTCTCGTGTTGTTTCTCCTTCTCGCGTCTCTCTTTCTCTCTCTCTCTCTTTCTGTTTCTGTTTCTCTTTTCCGCGTCTTTCCCTATCGTGTTGTTTCTCCTTTCCGTCTCTCTTTCTCTCGTGTTGTCTCTCTCTTTCGCGACTCTCTTTCTCTCTCTCTCGTTCTGTCTCTCCTTTTCAATTTTCTCTCTCTGTTCTACCTTCCTACATCTTTCTTTTTCTCTCTTTCCCTCTCTGGTTCTTCCTCCTTGCGTTTATTTCTCTCTATATATATTCTTGCGTCTCTCTTTCTCTTCCTATGTATCTCTACCCTCCTATGTATCTCACACTAGTTCTATCTTCCTGCATCTCTCTATATTTCTACCTATTGGTTCTATCCTTCTATATCTCTCTCTTTCGCCTTCTATTGTTCTATTTTCCTGCGTATCTCGCTCTCTTCCGCTCTTGTTCTACCCCCTTGCGTCTATTTCTCTCTCCGGTTCTACCCACCTCTCTCTCTCTCTCTCTCTCTCTCTATATATATATATATATATATATATATATATACTTACTTACTTCTAGTCTATATTCTTACTTCTAGTCTCTCTCTCTCTCTCTACATTCCTTCTACATTCCCAGTTTTACATTTCTTCCCGTGAACTGTATTTTTCTTTCTCTCGTTCACTTTGAAATTCTTCAAATTATCTGTCGATTTTTTTTCATACGTATCTCAAAATATAATATTCCACAAAGACGTCTATACTTAAATTCTCAGCTCTGTCTCTTTTTTTTTAAATTTAAATTTAAATTTTTGTGAGCTGCTGACATAGAAAACCGTTTATTTTATATATTTTTTATAAAACCATTGGAAACTTTTGCATACACTTAATTCACACAGACATATATATATATATATATATGAGCCAAATGATAACACACACCCATAGTCATATACACACTTACACACATCATACTCACTCACTTACTAAGAAGCAAATAATACACACACACACACACACTTAACAGAGACACATCCCGTTTCCAGGAACCAATAAAATTGTCAAAATGACCAAGGGAATTCAAAGCAGCATGAATCCATCCTTCTCTTATCTTAAATAACAACTTAAAAGAGACTGTTTGACCAACACAAGGAGTGACCAAAATTCATGTTAAAAAAAACCCAAAAAAACAAATGAAAACTACAGACAAAAGTTCATTTTCTCCATCAAGGCATTCATTGCTGTAGTTCACTGCTACCAGCAAGCAGAATTTCTTTTCTCCTGATGATGGCCATGTTGGCCGAAACTAGTCGAGAAATCTAAATGAAATAATAATAAAAACGAAAGAAATATTAATATACAAACCAGTATGTCTGAAGATTAATATTTTTTTATTTTTTATATATATATATATATATATATATATATATATATATATATATATATATATATATATATATACACGCAGATCACTGTGAAAAGTAATGCTTCCTATTTTATTTTATTTGTTTACTGCCACTCGGGTGGATGCTGAACACACAGCGGTAGAGGTTGAAACTTTCTATTATTTTTTTTTTTTTTTAAACCGCCTTTTGGTCCGTGTATTCTGGTGCTGTGTAAGTGGTTTCATGCCTGCTGAAAATTTGTACCAGAACCTGCTGAAAATGTAGCGTAGCTTCCCATTGCCTTTTCTATAAATACTTTCATGGCAATTGTTCTGATCAACTTTTCTTTATGGTAGCTAGATTTTATAAATTTAAGCGCAGTACTAGATTGGCTGCAAGGTCTCATCCTTTTACAGTTGAAATGGCTAGATCTAACCGTAAGTTCTGTTTCTTCTATCGCACTACTCGCTTGTGAAACTCTCTTCCGGCTTCTTGTTTACAAGTCAACTTTGATCTTTAGAAATTTAAATGAAATGTCAATCGTTATCTTCTAACTTCTTAATTCCTGTTCTTTTATTGTCTTCTCTCCTTAATAGTAGTTTTTCTTATTCTCAAACGCTAAGTAACCCTTTGCGTCCTAGTGGCTTTGTGGCTTTATTGCTTTCCTTGGGGTGAAATGATTAAAAAAAATTGCAATGTTTCGATTACATTTGACTATCGATGGTGATTTCTAAGGAAAATGTGATAAGTCGAGCAATAGCCAGGCGAGCGTATAGTCCAGAGGTTAAAATGAACGTCGTTTCAAATGCTGTGGTGATGAAAAAGATTTTATCGAAAGATTGCTGCCTAAATATACTATTTTATCTATCTATCTATCTATCTATCTATCTATCTATATATATATATATATATATATATATATATATATATATATATATATATATTATGAAATGAACAAAGTCCGACAATATTTAAGCAGTATTGACAGTATTTAAATTAAGTATTTAAACTGTATTGATAATATTTAAACACAATTCTCCATGATTTTCTCTCATTCATTCATATCTGCTCAATGCTTATCCAAATGTAAACAAATGACGTCATATATTATAAAATGGACAAAGTTCGACAATTATTTAAGACATTTTTAAAAAACAGTAAAATCGACCTTGCTAACCCAACGCTCCTCTGTGGCCCAATCGGTTAAGGCACATCAGGCTATATGGCGGTTCCGTATAGGACACAGGTTCGATCCCTGTCGGAGGACGCATATTTTCTATGAAGATTTCTTGGACATTCAGGCCGGTAAATGTTATCAATACTGTTTATTATAAACAGAGCATTTACTTAAATATTTGTATCTATAAAAAAAAACGTATAAACATAAAAAATGTCTTCTGTATATATATATATTACTTCAAATGTTATTTTTAGTGGACACCCGTATTTGAATAGACGCTCCGTTTTATTTTAAACAGTATTTCCTACGTTTGCCTGCATGCATACTCGAGACAACATATTAAAGATAAACGACAGTTTTTCTTTAATAAGTTTCTGGGGTATGCAGAAAATGTGCCATTTTCTTTAAATTTCTAGATATAACGGTAAGTTCTCTGCTAACAGCTTCTTCTCTTGTTCTTTTATCGTCCTCTCCCTCTTAATAATGTTTTCCTTTTATCAATATTCCTTCTCAATCAATAATCCCTTCTGACTTTGTGGCGTTATTGCTTTGCTTGGGGTGTAATTATTAAAGAAAAAGAAAAAGTAAAACTCTATGATAATACTTTGTGAAAACAGAAAGTGCTCAGAAGTTATAGGACAATTTATGTTCAACTTCTCTCCGGAAAGCAGAAAAATAGTTCAAGCCGTGGAAAAATCAAACAAAAAAATCTTTTAAATAAAGAACTTTCGTTCGTCATGAAAAAAAGCTATCGTAAATTATCTTAATAATAATAATAATAATAATAATATCATCGTTATGAAACTCGACAGCAATGACACTCCCAAATATTTTCCTTGAATGTCATTGTTAGAAATATTCTTATAATTTAGCTTGTGATTTAACACACACACACACACATTATATATATAAGTGAACATTGAAGTCAACATTCAGAGACGACAGACTGTTTCGTGATAAACGCAATCATCAGACCTCTCAGTGTTGACTTCAAGGTTCACTTTTAAATTTACATACGCTCTATCACTATTGAGCACTTTATCCCATAAATATAGCATACCTTAAAACTATATTTCTTCATATATACGTTTAACGATAATGTTATTAAGCTTATCAGACGATATGAAAGGAATTTACATAAAATAAACAGACAACACTTGTCTATATTATTTAATGAAACATGCATCAATGAAAAAATGCTGCCTAAATACAGACAATTTATATATATATATGAAGAAATATACATACATATATATATATATATATATATATATATATGAAGAAAAATATACATACATATACATATATATATATATATATATATATATATATATATATATATATATATATATATATGAATAAATATATATACATACATACATATATATATATATATAAAGCAGCTTTTTCTCAATAGGGCTGAATGCTGTTTAGCATATCAGATTTTGTTGTTTGTGTGTGACCCAAAAAAGTGGGGAGATTGCAAAGGAACATTTGGCATTTTCTGAACATTTACGATGTGATGTGTGTTATATCTCGTCTGAAAGTAGACAGTCCTAGAATTTCAGAACTAGTCTAACTTTACCCTAACTCTAAGTAATTGTCAAGACATGATCATTTGCAGTTAATCAAAACTTGCGCACGTTTAATAACCTATTTTTAGTCGATCAGTTCTCAATAGTTGTTTTATTTTCTGCCTCTTTTTGCCAGGAAAGTCATTGGAATCTTATTGAAACGAATGTCATAATTAGCAGACAAGTTTACTTTGACGCTCTTTTCAGAAAAGATCTCTATCAAGTGTTTTTTTAGAATAATCTTTTTTTTTTATCCCCACAGCACAAAATTCATTAAAATTGAAATTTTTTTTTAACATAGTTTGACTGCTTTTTTCTCTGACTCCACCAGTTTCGAATAACACTAACAAAAAAATCTTCCGGACAATTTTGCTCCATTAGTAAAAGTTCCTAAATATTAAAACCTGCAAAATGTAAGGAAATTGTTATCGTGAAGATATTTAAAACGTATTTAGTTCCATTTTTTAAAATTAAATTGATAACTCCCCGCTTTTGGTACTATATGCCGGGGAACAAATTTCGTTGTATTTATCAGAAAATCAAGGTCTTGACATTTATTTCAATGTTTCTGTTTGTGTTCTGAATCCATTTTTTTCTACAAAAAATAAAGTCAAAATGAATTATTTAAAAAATTAAACTCTTTTCGTAAATTCTGGCTTTTTACTGTAAATCCCGGGTTTTCTACAGCTAATTTTTAATTAGAAATGTAATTTTTTTTTAAAGTAAAATTAACATAAATACAGTTCCTAAATACAATTCCATAATTGAGTTGAAATTCATTCAAAGCACTCAAAAACCACAAATGTCCACTGTATTGTGCGAGCCAGATGTGTGGTGTGATTGTAAATTAATACCATGTGCACTCAGAGAAAACATTTCAAATACAATATATAAACTAGAATTAATGTCACTCTGAAAACAACAAAAGCGAAAATCGAGTGAAACATAAGCTGCCAGAAAAAAAAAAAAATGAGAACCTTTAAGAAAGCATAATACAAAGTAGGACTTACGGCCACGTCACCAAATTTAAGCAATGTCGAGTCTGGGCAGAACCTACATGGGTGACCGCTAGGGAATACCAGTTACTGCAACGGGTGGTGTAATGGAATCGTTACTCCGAGAGCCGAGTTCCAATTTCATTTGTGTTGGTTATATTCATACGCGCAAATACCCTTGGGAAAGATATGAATGCGTCTCTTTTCTCCCCATTTATGTGTTAATTAGTAAGATTGGTAGCACCAAATCATTATTTCAAATAAAAATAAAAATTGGTACAAAATATCGGAATTGGAGCCGCTAAACAAAGACAAGCAAACACACACAAATATATATATATATATATATATATATATATATATAAAGAAAGAACAGTAAGATATATAATCCGGTGTTCTTATAGATATTTTTTATTTTTACAAAACAGTGCTCAATGTAAATTTACAGAGCATTATTATAAATTAATTGATTTAAAATGTTTTTTTTACTACAGTTCTAACCATGTTTCAAAAAATGGAAGCTAAAAGCCCTGAATTTAATTTTGTAATTAAATTAA